TGGAACAATCTCGTCGCTCTCTTGGGCCCTGAAGAGCATCGTGAGGGACTCTAGGTGCTCCGTGCAGACCATGGAACGCTCCTGCCGTCCATGGGGCCACTCGTCGGGCATGAACAGCTTCACACCGCTCAGCTTGTTGAGTGAACCCAATCGCTCATCCAGGTTATGCACGAGCGCCTCCGCCATCGCCGTGCACTGCTCCACGCATCGCTCATGGGTCCCTGCAATGGGGTAGCCTTCAAGGGGGGAATCATGCAGCACTTAGCAGTGAGAAGTGGGCCGGCCGTCGGAGTCAACCCACTCGACCTCCACTCTCCGCACCCCATTCGGTCCATGTCGTGCAATGAAGGGGGACAGCTTCTCGCTCAGGCCGCCGCCGAAGTCGTCGCCACAATCCACATAACGGTTGTTGATGTGGGTTGTCGTGCGACGGATCTGGACTTGAATCGCCAGCAGGTCAATCTGCCACACAAAAACAGTAGGGAAAGCACAACCATGTTTCAATCATGAAGCAGAACTAGCCGTAGCTAGCGGCCCTAAACCCACAGTCCTCACGGCACACAGGGATGCACAGGCAAAAGCAGGATCTCACATGTCGATGCTGAGCACGTTCAGCTGTTCCAGCACGTCAGCGAGGAAGCGCAGCATGAACTGGAATCTGTAGTTGGTCACCATCTGGTACATGGGCTTGTTTCCCAGCTCGTGCACCATCACGACGACCCCCGGAAGGACTGCAAGGAGTCGGCAGACTGCATCGCCGCGTGAGAGCCAACGCACATCATTGATTCCTTGGAGCTCCAGTGAAGACTTCCTGAAGGTCCAGGAAGCGCTGGTGCCAGGGTCCTGATGAGCCGAGGTAGGCGGAGAGCCAGCGGATGAAGCTGTCGACCATGCCAAACTCCGGTAGGGACTCTGCCGCGTCCTTGGCCGCGAGTGCTTCCCTGCGATTAAAACAAAAAACAGTCGCATTTGGTTAAGTAGAAGGAAGGACACCATGTTCAAATAACAAATACCAGTCGCATCGGACACTGCATCAACTACCGTACCTGTGAGCAATGCAGTGGCAGGACACCAGATGCGGAACGCGCATCCTCAGCCTCGCCACCAGCCTGTTTTTGGATCCGACCATGACGCTCGCCCCGTCGGTGCTGATGCCCGTGATTCGGCGCAGGTCAATGCCGACGACATTAACATGGGATAAGAGCAACGCCACCAGCAATGCGGGGCCTGCCCTGTCCACGGTTAGGAGGGCAAAGAACTCGGGGACTACTGCCCCGTCGCGGATGAATGTGGCATAGATGATGAGATGCTTCCCACGACATATGTCTGTAGACTCGTCACAGCTGAGGCCGATGTAGTGGCTTTGTAGGACGTGTTCGAGTTGTGTTGTCTGCAGCCACACGGCCGTTGCCTGTGTTAGTTCCCCAAAGCCGTACCTGCATAGACACCGAAAATATTTGTTAGGCTTACGTGGTTGTGAACAGGAGAGGCTTTTAATGCATGCGCCCGTAAGCACTGACGTGGTGTAGTAAGTGCCGTATCCCTTTTTGGGAAAGCCGCGGACCTCGTTCTGAGCCATGTAGCGAACGAGGCGCACCCACGTCTCCATCGGCAGATGGTTCTGGGTGGTGAAGTGAAGGGAGTTCAGAAGGCTGATGACGCGGGTCGTCTCGTCATCTTTGGCGAGCGCATGCTTGTCAATTCGCGGCTGCTTCACAGCCTAAGCTAGCATCTGCTTCTAGTGATTGATGGCCAGCTGGTGCTTGTTCGTCGCGGCATGCCGCTTGAAGGCTTGGGTCTGAAGATCGGTTGCACCGTGCCCACTCTTGCCACACTTGCCACCGTCACCTGCAAAGTCGATGCACAATCTGCACTTGAACGCAGGCATGCCATCAGTGTTTTTTATGAGTATGAGCCATGGGTAGTCGGTCGACCACGTCGACTTGAACGTTTCAAGGGCCTCTTCGTAAATCAGAGTGGTTAGTGACGGTTTTTTAGAGTTAGATGGCGTGGGCGTAACGTGGTTTACCGACTCGCCGGCATCAGCGAGAGGACGTCCAGGATCTGTAGGATCGGCCCAACGCAGCACGGCCTGCTTGTAACGAGGCGGAGGCTTCGACGACGACGCACGAGATGGCAAGTGGATGCTCGGTCCGGCTGCTGACGGCACGGCCGGCTTAGCAGTATGCGCGGGCTGGGGAAGATCGTCTCTGCGGCAGAGGCCAGACGCTTCACCAGTGTTTGCTACTGAGGCGACGGGACCTGGCTTCTCTTTTTCATGGGAGAGCGCGGAAACTAGAAAATCTAGTCCCGTTCTAGCCTCCAGCATCTCGGTGGCGGCGTAAAGTGCATCCTCGTCATCATCACCGCAGCTGTTCTTACCGGTGATCGCCATGGCTCGTTCACGTCACCTTCCTGAATCGGTGAGTAGTAACGAGAAACCCTGGGAGAGAGAGAGCCTGCCAAGCAGGCTTCAGGGAGACTGCAGAGATTGATGTTTCGGAAAGGGATGTAGTCTGGAGAGCTGGAATGGCAGAATCACGAGACCCCCTGCGTGGGGTGCCTGAGGGGGCCGCCCCAGCACGCCCTACCTTGGTGGAAAGAACAAGGTAGACCACTGGCCCACTGGGCCACTAGGCTTGGTTGTTTGTGCACATCAATGGAAAGTAATGACAAGTGTAGGTTATCCAACGTGACAACGGTACATTGCTTCAGCTGGGACAGCCAATCTCTTCACGCCGTTTTGCCAACACAGCCCGAAATTAACCCGTTCAACTGTATCTGGGCGCGCCGCAGGGTGGCGTCGGTGCAGGGTGGGTTCATGCACGATGACGGCGCGCAAAACTGCGAGAATCACGGAGTTTCCGGTTTCAGGGTCGTCTCCGATACAACACTGACTCGTCAGTGTCGACCAACTAGAAACACTGGAAAATCAGGATTAGGAAAAGAAAAACACTGATTCATCGGGGCTGTAAAAACAAAAAGGCTGATTCATCAGGGTTACAATAAAAAACCGAGGTCAAACATCAGAAAATCAGGGTAAAATTCATGGAATCTGAGGCCCTGCCGCAAACCAAACGGCAGGCTTCGACCCAAGCATGATGGAGAAGTTTTTCTCCTTCATGTCCTTCTACGAACAGCATCAGCAAGCAGCACATGCGCAGTCAAGCATCAGCAACAACAACAACGACGTTACACCCATAAGTCTCGATGGCTCATCCTATGCGCGCGGAAACCAACAGCAACCCACCTTTGCTGCGTATGAGCCTCAACGTGGCTCAATCAGCTTCATGCCGCAACAACAGCTTCGACCTGGACAAGAGAAAACACTGGATGCACTTCAAGTTCAATCGCAGTTCGCGCACGTATTGAAACTACAGACATCAACGCCTTTCGACGGTGAAGATTTTGATACCTGGTCATTCGAGTTTGAGCTGATGATGGAAGGCGCGGAGATTCATGGGTTCTTCGACGGATCCCTGCCATACCCAACACACGAGACACAGTACGAAAAACAACAATACACATATTAGTCGATGATGGCGTACACCATCCTGCTGAGGAACATAACTCCAAACCAGCAGCAGAACATCGGTCTTACCGGGGATACGGCAACTCCGCCGAGCTCGCGTACAACCACTTGAAGAACCTGTACCAAGCAACAAACAGCGTCAATTAGAGCCGGCTAATGGCACAACTAACAATAGTGGAAATGAAACTCGGCGAAAAAGGGATGGCGTATATCAGCCGTTGTCGCAAATTGCGCAACAAACTCCTTCAATATCTGAAGAAGCCTTCGTCACAGTCGTCATCTCCGGCCTTGGTCCTCAATGGCGCTCCACTCGAGCCATACTCCGAGCTTACGGGAAGATCTCCATGTTAGAACATTATAGCTTATACATTTGTGTAGGCTGTAGTGGGGTAGCCCACAAGGGGTACAACCCAATTAGGGTTAGTACTTGTACCCAACTGTTTCATAGTTCATTCATCCATTCTCATTTCTCGTTCCCGAGTGGGAATGCTGCCTAGGGCCCACCACGAATATTTTCTTCCCTGCCCGGAGCGCACTTCGCTTCTACCCGAGTACTGCCTCAAGCCGCCCTTAGTGGCCTCCTTTGGCCACCCTTACGGCCCCTCGCGCCGCCTTCTACGGCCCCTCGTGCCGCCCTTACGGCCCCTTACGGCCCCGTCTGGCCCCTTACGGCCCCGCTTAGGCCCCTTACGACCCCATCGCGGCATCGCCTAGGCCCCTCCGCGGCCCCGTCTGGCCCCTTACGGCCCCTTACGGCCCCGCCTAGGCCCCTCCGCGGCCCCGTCGTGCCCCTTACGGCCCCGTCTAGGCCCCTTACGGCCCCTTCGCCGCCTCGCCTAGGCCCCTCCGCGGCCCCGTCTGGCCCCTTACGGCCCCTTACGGCCCCGCCTAGGCCCCTTACGGCCCCGCCTAGGCCCCTTACGGCCCCTTCACGTCCCCGTCTAGGCCCCTTGCGGCCTCGCTTAAGCCCCTCCGCGGCCCCGTCTGGCCCATTTACGGCCCCGTCTAGCCCCTTTACGGCCCCGTTTAGGCCCCTCTGCAGCCCCGTCGCCACCTGCGGCCCCGTCCCCACCTGCAGCCCTGTCGCCACCTGCGGCCCCGTCGCCACCTGCGGCCTCGTCACCACCTACGGCAGCCCCGCCGCCACCTGCGGCCCCGTCGCCAACTGCAGCCCCGCCGCCACCTGCGGCCCCGCCGCCACCTGCGGCCCCGCCGCCACCCGCGGCCCCGTCGCCCTACCCTAGCGGCCGGGCTGCACAGCAGCCGAGCCGCCCGCCCGCCGAGCAGCCGAGCCGCCCAACAGCTGATTCGCCCTGTCGCCCAGCAGCCGAGCCGCCCTGCAGCCGACCCGCTCTGCCGCCGAGCCACCGAGCCGCCCTACTGTTCAGCAGCTGCTGTTCCTACCGGTGCTCCTCGACCCCTCCTTCCTCTGACTGGTGAGCTCACTTCCTCCTAGGCCACTGCAGTCATGGCTACCCCCAGTGTCCTCACTTTTGATGTTGAGGGCCGTGCCGTTGACTTTCAGGTCTTGGTCGATGACCTCCAGCTGTTTCTTCAGTGCGATAGGGCAGACGGCCTCTCCATGTTTGACCTCACTTCGGGTGCCTCTCCTGCCCCTGCTGCTGATGCTGACGCCAGTGTTCGCTCACAGTGGGCCACGCGCGATGCTGCTGCTCGCCTTGCTGTGCGCCGCCACTTACCAACCACTGAGCGTGCACACTTTAGCCAGTACAAGAGTGCTCAGACCTTGTACGACGCTGTAGTTGCACGCTACTCTTCCCCTCCCACTTCTGCACTGAGCCGCCTCATGCTACCGTACCTCTTCCCTGACCTTGCTTCCTTTCCCACAATCGCTGACCTCATTACGCACCTCCGCACTAGTGACACTCGTTACCGCGCTGTGCTTCCTGCTGAGTTCTGCGCCAGGAACCCCCCCCCATGTACATCACCCTCTACTACATAATCACCCGGCTCCCTGACTCTCTTCACATAGTCAGGGACCACTTCCTCTCAGTTTGCCCCACCACTCTCACCGTTGACCTCCTCGAGAAGGCCCTCCGAGCGATAGAGAAGAGCATAGTTGCTGTAGGAGCCTCTTGTGGTGACCCTTGCACCCCCGTCTTTGAGGGGTGTTCTCCCTCCCCCATCTTGCCCTCTGTTGCATCTACTGCTGTGGCTGACCTTGTTGGTTTCGAGTCGGTCGGCGCTGCGTCTGCCCGAGCGGGAGACGCCGCACAGGCAAGGGCAAGGGGGGCAAGGGCGCTAAAGGGGTTGGAGGGGACGGTGGAGGTGGTGGTGAAGGCGGTGGAGGGAGTGGGGGTGGTGGTGGGAGTGGTGCCGGGGGTGGCGGCGGTGGCGGCAGCAGTGGAGGCGGCGGAGGCGGTGGAGGTGGCGGAGGGAGCGAAGGCGGCGGAGGTAGTGGAGGAGGTGGAGGTGGAGGAGGCAGCGGAGGCGGCGGTGGTGGAGCGGGTCGCGACTCTCTGAAGAGGAGTGGCGCCGGTGGTGGTCAGCGCCAGGAGCAGCAGCGGAGTGGTGTGACCCTGTCCCCTCAGCAGCTTCGCGAGTGGTACACTGCGCGTTAGTGCGGTGGGGGTTATGGTCCCTGCGCTTACGTCCTCCGTACCGGCGACCGCGCTGGTGAGCAGTGCGGAGGCCCGCACTCCACCCAGCGCTGCTTTGGTCGCCTGACGGACGCGTGGCGTTGCTAGTTCCCTGAGGCGTCAGAGATCCCTCCCTGGGGAGATCTGACTAAGGCCGGGGTTGATTCGGGTGCGTTCCGCTCCTTCTTTCGAGACCGCACCACTCTTACGCCGCTCAGTCGGCCAATTGCAGTCTCCCTGGCGGACCCCTCTGGGGGTCCTGTACTTGCTAGCTTCTCCACTGTCTTACCGTGCCCGTCAGCCCCCTCTGGCACCTTGTCAGGTCTCTACCTCCCCTCGTTCTCTACAAACTTGGTGAGTGGAGCGGACCTACAGGATAGGGGGGTTGACCAGTTCACTTCTGCGAGTCAGCGAGTGACCCACTGCACGTGTGCTCGGACAGGCCAACACTTGGCCACGTTCACCCATCGGCCAGGGTCGAGCCTGTACACCCCTACTTCTAAGTCTCCTCCTACTGCTGAGTCTGCCTTGGTAGCTGCGTCGAGTAAGGTGTTTTCTGCGGCGTCCAGGTCCGGTCCTGAGTCTGCTCCCTGCTCGTGTCATCTGATATCCCACCAGACTCTCCTTTGGCACCACCGCCTTGGTCACCCCTCCTTGCCTCGTCTCCAAGGCATGGCCTCCCGTATCCTAGTCTCTAGTCTCCCTCAGTCTCTCCCTCCCCTTCCTCCGGGGCCTGGCCCTACCTGCGTCCTCTGCGTCGAGGGGCGACAGCGTGCCGCCCCTCACTCCTCTGACTTTCCTCCGACAGAGGCTCCGCTGCCGACTCTCCACTAGGATGTGTAGGGCCTAGCCCGCGTCAGTGGGCAGGGACGCGAGCGGTACTTCCTGCTGGTGGTTGACGACTACTCGCGTTACACCACAGTCTTCCCCTTGCGCAGCAAGGGTGACGTCACTGAGGTGTTGATCGTCTGGATCCGCGTAGCTCGTCTCCAGCTCAGAGAGAGTTTCGGCTCGGACTTTCCTGTTCTGCGTCTGCACTCGGACAGAGGCGAGGAGTTTTCCTCTGCCCGTCTGGGAGCCTTCTGTCGTGCACAGGGCATCTGCCAGACCTCACGCTTCCGGCCTCTCCACAGCAAAATGGGATTGCTGAGCGCCGCATTGGCATGGTCATGGACGTCGCTCGGACGTCCATGATGCATGCGGCTGCCCCCCATTTTGTGTGGCCGTTTGCGGTTCAGTACGCCGCACATCAGCTCAACCTTCAGCCCCGGGTCTCCTTGCCAGAGACCTCCCCCGCCTTGCGGTTGACCGGGAAGGTTGGTGATACGTCTGCGTTTCGGGTCTGGGGATCTCGCGCATTTGTCCGCGACTTGTCTGCGGACAAGCTGTCCCCCCGTGTTGTTCCCTGCGTCTTCCTTGGCTTCCCCCTTGACGCGTCTGGGTGGCAGTTTTACCACCCCACCTCGCGCCGTGTTCTGTCCTCCCAGGACGTCACCTTTGACGAGTCAGTGCCTTACTACCGTCTCTTCCCCTACCGCACTACGCCCCCCCCCCCCCCCCGCCCCCGCTCTTCCTTGTGCCAGGTCCTCCACAGGTAGACCCCCTCCCCTCTGAGGGTCGTGCCCTGTCAGGTGTGTCCTAGGTAGACGCCGTCGAGCCTGTCGAGGTAGTTGTTGACTCTGGTGCTGCTAGAGGTGCTGAGCCTGCAGGTGCCGGGTCTGGGGGTGCTGAGTATGGGAGTGCTAAGACTGGGGGTGCTGAGCCTGGGGGTGCTGGGACTGGGGGTGCTTAGCCTGGGGGTGCTGAGCGTGGAGGTGCGGAGCCTGGGGGTGCTGGGTCTGCTTGTATGGCCGCCGGCGGTGCTTCGTCGAGGCGGAAGCCGCTCTCTCCACAGGAGCTGTGCGAGTGGTTCGCCCGCTACTGGAGACGTGCTGCTGAGTCCGGGAGTGCTGCTGGAGCGACTGGAGTTGGTCCCGCTGGAGCTGCTATTGGTGCTGGTGCTGCTGGAGGTGGAGCTGCAGGAGGTGTTGGTGCTGGTGATACTACTGGTGCTGGTGCGTCTCCGGGTGCTGCTGAGGCTGCTGGTGTTGACGGTCCTACTAGAGTTTGTGCAGCTGGAGCTGGAGCTACTGGGGGTGTTGGCGCTGGTGGTGCTGCTGGCGCTGGTGCTTCTGAGGGTGCTCGAGTTGGCGCTGTTGGAGCTGGAGGTGCTGCTGGCGCTGGTGCTGCCGCTGGGGGTACTGGTGCTGTCCCTGCTGGTTCTGGAGGTGCTGAGCAGCCGAGGCCGTACTTCGTTCCGCTCCTGGAGCAGGTTCTTGGTCTCCCGCCCTCTCCTGGTCCTGCTCATTCCTTAGAGTGTCCACACCCTATCCAGTCGCAGTCACAGTTCTAGCCCGCCTCCCCTCTACCTGCTCCTTCTCCCTACACTGGTCCTACTCGAGGTCTTGCTGAGCGTCGTGAGCCTGCGTCTCGTCCTGCATCGCCTGCTTGTGCTGCTCGCACTAGTGGTCGTACTGCGCGTCCACGTCCTCCAGCGGTCCCCAGCACACACCAAATGGCACAGCGTCCTTCCACTGCTCCTCTGCGTGTCCCGTTGCCGTCTCCTCCAGAGTCCTCTCTTCCTTCTCTTGCAAACCCGGAGTCTGACTCCCTTTGTGCTGCTAGTCCTTCGGTCACGCGCCTTCTTGCTACTGTTGTCACTGACCCTTCCTTTGAGTCCACTTTTGCGTCTGCCCTAGTTGCTGAGCTTGTCGACTTCGCTGCTTCTTGTCGTCTAGACTACGCTGCTAGTCTCGTTGCTGAGTCTGAGTCTGTCTGTCCTCCGTCCGTCGGGGGTGAGTGTGCTCTTAGCACGGACATCCTTGAGGACAGGCAAGAGGAGTTCCAGTGCTTTGCGTCGCTTTGCCCCATCTCGTGTCCACGCTGATAGCCCCCTAGGGAGTCCCGGATGCACCAGACATCCCGACTCCTCGATCGTACGCTGAGGCAATCGAGGGTCCCTACTCCTCTCAGTGGCAGTCAGCCATGGACGCAGAGATGGCTTCTTGGAAGTCCACAGGCACCTACGCCGACGAGGTTCCCCCACGTGGGGCGAACATCGTCGGTGGCATGTGGATTTTCAGGGTGAAGCGGCCGCCGGGTTCTCCGCCTGTCTTCAAGGCGCGTTACGTGGCTTGAGGCTTCAGTTAGTGGCAGGGAGTTGACTACTTTCAGACCTTCTCTCTCACCCCGAAGATGACCACTCTTCGGGTGCTGTTGCACATAGCCGCTCGGCGCGACTACGAGCTTCACTCTCTTGACTTCAGCACACCTTTCCTGCACGGCAGCCTGCACGAGGAGATCTGGCTGCGCCGCCCTCCTGGCTTCACTGGGTCGTTTCCTCTTGGTACCCAGTGGAGCCTCCGACGGCCAGTCTACGGTCTTCGCCAGGCGCCCCGTGAGTGGCACGACACACTGAGGACTACACTTGCGGCTCTTGGGTTTGCTCCTTCTACAGCCGACCCGTCGCTGTTTCTACGCACCGACACCTCTCTGCCGCCGTTCTACATCCTCGTGTACGTCGACGACTTGGTCTTTGCCAGTGCTGACACTGCTGGACTCGCCCACGTGAAGTCTGAGCTGCAGAAGAGACACACGTGCACAGACCTGGGTGAACTGCGCAGCTACCTTGGCTTGCAGATCACCCGGGACAGAGCACAGCGTACCATTACCTTGACACACTCACACATGGTGCAGCAAGTCCTTCAGCGCTTCGGCTTTACGTACTCCTCGCCTCAGGCCACTCCTCTGTCTACTCGCCACTCGCTCTCAGCTCTGCCTTCGGATGAGTCCGTAAAGTCGAGTGGCCCATACCCTGAGCTTGTTGGCTGCCTCATGTACCTGATGACCTGCACACGACCTGACCTTGCATACCCTCTTAGCATCTTGGCATGCTATGTTGCTCTTGGGAGACACAGACTAGAGCTCATGGCTGGAGTGAAGAGGGTGTTGCGCTACGTGTGCAGTACGTCAGGCATGGGGCTAGTGCTTGGAGGGCGACGTCGAGTGGTCCTCACAGGTCACGGTGACGTTTCTTGGGCTGACGACCAGGCTACGCAGCGGTCGTCACAGGGTTACACCTTCAGCCTTGGCTTCGGCTTTGTTTCGTCTTCTCTTCTCAGCTCCAGCTGTGAGGCTGAGATCTACGCAGGGGCCATGGCTGCGCAGGAGCTACGCTGGCTCACCTACCTGCTGATTGACCCAGGATAGCCGCCTCGTTCTCCTCCAGTTCTGTACGTAGACAACAAGGCCATGCTGGCCTTGTGTCGAGAGCACAGACTGGAGCACACAACGAAGCACATTGCTCTTCGCTACTTCCTTGCTCGTGATCTGTAGCAGCGTGGTCAGCTCCGTCTCACCTACGTGGCCTCTGAGGCCAACACTGCTAATATTTTCACCAAGGCCCTTCCGCCTTGTGATCATCAGCGCTTCTGTAGTTTGCTAGGTCTTGTGCCTACCTGGCCTCAGTTGCTCACTTCTTGATCTTATTTGTACTGCACTCTATGTATACCTGCACTTGCTTGTTCACCTTTATATATATGTCCTTGCATGTGAACTGGCCTTGTGGCCTTACTCTTGTTCTCGGACTGTGTGGTGACTTTGTGATCCACCCTGAGCTTGCTTTGCTTTGCTTGACAGGTCTTGTGACCACTTGTTCTCCCGCACTTTGCCTATGGGGGTGTGTCAGAACATTATAGCTTATACATTTGTGTAGGCTGTAGTGGGGTAGCCCACAAGGGGTACAACCCAATTAGGGTTAGTACTTGTACCCAACTGTTTCATAGTTCATTCATCCATTCTCATTTCTCTTCACTCCGAAGCGGCACTCTGCGCCAAACAACAAGA